GCAGCACCTGCCCCGGCTCGGCCCGCCGAGAGCAGGCGGCTGACACGGGGACTGGCTCCCTGGGGGCAGGTCTGTGAGCATGTGCGGCACAGGAGAGGAGACTGGGTGGCCAACAGTGAAGCACAGCCAGAGCGAGCGGTTACCTGTGCAGCCTCCCTTACAATTAGGCCGGGCTCCCTCCGCACCCAGGACCCACCTCCCGCAGTCACCAACACCCCTGGGTGCTCCAGGCCCTCCTATAAAGGGTGTCCTATGTGCATTAACCTACATGCGTCCCTGACTCCTTACAATCCCTACTGCACTGTGCATGCCGCATAAGTAGCTGTCCCCTACGTTGCCTAGGAAACAATGGCCAGCGATGCAAACACCCAGGCCAGTGGTCAGCAAATTGCGGCTCTCGGGCCACAGGTGGCTCTTTGGCCCCTTGAGTGTGGCTCTTCCACAAAATGCCACGGCCTGGGTGAGTCTATTTTGAAGAAGTTTAAGTTTAAAAAACTTGGCTCTCCAAAGAAATTTCAATCGTTGTCCTGTTGGTATTTGGCTCTGATGACTGATGAGTTTGCCGACCGCTGCCCCAGAGGCCTAACTGGTTGCAGCACCGATGTTAATGGTTCCCAGTATTTTCCCTCCGGGTTAATGGTTCCCAGTATTTTCCCTCCGGGTTAATGGTTCCCGTATTTTCCCACCGATGTTAATGGTTCCCAGTATTTTCCCTCCGGGTTAATGGTTCCCAGTATTTTCCCTCCGGGTTAATGGTTCCCAGTATTTTCCCTCCGGGTTAATGGTTCCCGTATTTTCCCACCGATGTTAATGGTTCCCAGTATTTTCCCTCTGGGTTAATGGTTCCCAGTATTTTCCCTCCGGGTTAATGGTTCCCAGTATTTTCCCTCGGGGTTAATGGGCTCCACGCTAAGGCAGACGCCTTGGGTTGGGAGGGTTGACTGGGTGAATCTGAAGAAGTAAACTTCTGATGAGTGAACAGAAACAGTATCTTCGTGGCACAGGGAAGCAATAGGCTCTGAATGTAGCCTGGAAGGAGGCCTCGGTATCTTTGAAAACACATTCTCCATGAATACGCATTCGTGACCGGGCTTCCACCTGGAGCCGGGGGCGGGAGGTGCTGAGGGGCCCAGCTGAGGGGCCCAGGCCTGGCAGCAGTGCCTCCTCCAGGCTCGCGCCTTAAATCTCCAGGTGGGACGAATGTTGGCTGTCAAGTTAGTTTCCTGAAGGAAGATGAGAACCACCCCAAAATGGACCACAGCGAATAACTTGCTGTAAAGAATGAAACAGAGGCTGGTTACGGGGGACCTGAGACCACCTCCAGGAGTGCGATGGGGAAGCTTGTCCCAGAGTCACATTCTGGTGGTCCCGCGTCACCCGTTCCCTGACCAGTGATGGGGACTAGGTGTGCATCCCTCTGCCCTCAGGGGAACCCGCAGAAGAGGGGGTGACTCAGATGCAGAAGCCAGAGCAGAGCAATAGAACCAGAATTACTCATCGTCCAGAACAACCAGCACCTCCAGGCTGCCTTATGCCCTGATGGAAGAATGGAGTCCCTCTCTTTCCCTGGAGACAAACCTAATTTGCATAGTCCTGGGGGAGGGGGAGAAGGGGAGGCGCCTGGGAGGTGGGGCCGAGGGCAGAGGGAGGGGAGCTGCAGGATTTCCCAGGATTATTCTGCGAGGCTGAGCCAGGGGGGAGGGACAGGGATGGAGACAAAGGCGAGACCAGAAAAGCACTCGGTGTCCTGTTGTCCGTGATTCTCCTCTAATTCGTCTGATAAGCCTTCGTCATGGCCCAGTGATGCCAGGGACGGGCGGGAGCCGGACGCCGGGCACAGAGTGACTCCCAGTGAGGCCTGGGCTGGGGAGACTCAGGACTGTACCCGGGGGGGGGGGGGGGGGGGGCTGTTGAAGGCTCCCTGGGCAGTTTGATGGGGGCTCTTGGGCGGAATGGAGCTGTGCCCGCCCCTGGGAGCCTGGCCCCGCAGAACAGCAGCGGGCCTGCTCTGTGCACCCTCAGCAGCCCACAGAGAGCAGCGGTGGCTTCTCACCAGCCTGCTGCACCAACACACACCCTGCCCAGCCTCGCTGGCAGCTGGACGGGCTTCTGCTCCCTCCAGTCCCCGAAGATGCAGGTTTTACAGCTCCTCCTCTCCGTGGGCTCAGGATCAGAACCCGTTACACACGGCCTTGCCCAGGGTCACAAACACCACCTCTGCCACACTCATTCCCGGGCGGCTCTCCCCCACCTTCCGGCCCCAAACCTGTTTCCCTCCATGCGCCTCCCACGAGGCATCCTTCCTTCCCTCCAGGGAGAAGCTGCCCCCCGCCTTCTCCCAGGGCAGGACCCGCCCCTTCAGGCATGCGTGCCTGTGCCTGCTCCGGTGACACACGTCCAGTCCCGGTGGCAGGTTGGCGGGTCTAAGGACCTGAACTCTGAAGTCCCAGAGCCTGGCCTCCGGGCCCAGTGCCTGCGGGTCCAGGCCTGGGACACCCCTGGGGCCTGCCTCCGTGGAGTGGGTCACGTGGGGTCTGCTGAGCAGGGAGGGGGGCAGCTGTGGTGGGGAGAGCAGCAACCTGGCCTGCTCTAGCCGGGCGGCAGAAAGGCAGTGGGGGGCAAAGGCAGAGGGATGCAGGCCTCTGGAAGCCATCATCTCATCTGGCTCCGGTGCTCTGCTCATCACCACACCTAACCCCCTTTTATTTGGTGTCAGAGCAGGCTCCCTTCCAAGCCTCCAGGGACCCCTGTCCTTCTAGCACGAAGTCTGGTTGCTCCATTATGGGGGGGAGGGGGGAGAGGAATTGTGGGAGAGATTCCCCTTGATGCATCTGAGCATGCTCAGTGACTCCAAGACACAGGAGTGGGAACCAGTGCCCTGGACACAGATATCCCCCCAAAGCTCCGTTTTAGGGGTGAATGCGGACAGCTGCCTATTCCCCCCATTCCCCCCAAAGGTAGCTCATCTCTTGACCAAGATCCAAGGTTCCAAACACATCTGAGCCACACAGGCCTCTGCCGGGGGTCCCGTTCCAACCAAGTTCATCGCTCAGGTTCCTATGGGCAGGAGAGTGGGCAGGCCGGGGGGCTGGGAGTGGGGTGCGCAGAGACCTGGAGGACCTGGGGGGACCTGGGAGGACCTGGGGGGAGGTTGATGAGTTTCCTCCTAGCACATTCCCAGAGGCAAAGGGGAGCTCCTAGCTGCCCACTGAGCAAACCCGGCCTCCCGGTGCCCCAGGGGAGGCAGCCCGGGTCTCTGAGGAGCACACGGAGCGTCTGCAGATGGAGCCAGGGACCAGCCGGGAAGGAGGAAGGGGAAAAGGAAGAGAGAATCCCATGGCAGGTCCGGTGGGAAGCGGGTGAGCGGCGGGGGAAGGGGAATGGCCCCGCTGCAGCGGAGGGGGGACCGGGAGGGGGCGGAGGCGGGGTCCCCACACCGGGCGGAGGCAGCGGGAGCGCGCGGGGCGGGAGGCGGCGGCGGGGAGCGCGGCCGGAGGCGGCCTGGGAGCCCTGCGCGCTGCTCCGCCGGGTCCTCCCGCGGCGGCCCGGCTGCGGGGGGAGCCCCGCCGGGGGCGGAGCCAGGTCCCCGGGCCCGGGATGCGTCGCGCAGGGCGGCGCGGGCTCCGGTGCGGGTCAGGCCCCGCGGACCGGCCCCCGGAGGCGCCCTAGGCGGAGCCCGCCGGGCAGGCGGGGCGCAGGTGGGGCCGCCCCTCTCCCCCAGCGCCCGCGCCCGCCCGCAGCCCGGAGCCCGCAGCCCGGAGCCCGCAGCCCGGAGCCCGCAGCCCGGAGCCCGCAGCCCGGAGCCCGCCCGGAGCCCGCGGTCATGTAGGTGACGGCGCCGCCCGGGGACTGGGACGGGGGTGGGACGGGGACGGGGGTGGAGACGGTGGGATGGGGGTGGGAGAGGAAGGGGGTGGGACGGGGACGGGGACAGGGATGGAGACGGTGGGACGGGGGGTGGGGGTGAAGGGGACGGGGGTAGGGGGGACGGGGACGGGGGTGGAGACGGTGGGACGGGGGTGGGAGGGGAAGGGGCGGGGGTGGAGATGGGCCGGGGGCGCAGTGGCCTCCCCCTCGGCACCAGGCCTCCCGCAGCGCGGAGTTTGTAAACACTGACCCGCGCGGCGGAGGAGCCGGCGGGGGAGCGGGTGGCGCTGGGCCGGAGCCCGGGGCCGGGAGGGGTGGGAGCCCGGAGCCCCGGGCGCCCAGCGGGTGGGTGGGTGGAGGGGGGGCGGGGTGTGCCCGCGCCCTGCGGCGTATGGGTTCTCCGGGGCCCCCGGGCGGCGGAAACTTCGGGGTCCGGAAGGCTCCGGGGACCGGGGTGGAGAGGGGCTCCCCGCCTGCGCCCCCGCCCGCTCCGCTGCCGCCGCTTTAGGGGCCCGGCACCGGGCTCCTCCCCGGGTCCCCCCTGCGCCCCAGTACTGAGCAGCCGCTGGGAGCTGGGCCGGTGGGGGAGCTTAGGAACCCCCATGGGGGGGGGTCGGACAGCCTCCTGGGCCGGGGCCGGGAGGAGGCGGGAAGGGGGGCCCCCCCAGGACGCATTTTAAAAGTTGTTGGAAACGCCCCTCCGTCCCGGGGGATCGGGGGAGTGGGGGTCCCCGCTTTGCTTCCAGCGCGGTCTGCGCCCCCAACTCCGCCAGGGGGTTCCCCACGGGAGCCCGTGAGGATGCGGCCAGGGCCCGGGAGGGTGATGTGGGTCCATCCAGGTTTGGGGGGTTTGGGGGTGCCCTGGGCCCGGGCCGCCTCCCTGCCTGTCAGACTGAGACGCGGCGGATTTGCGGGAACTTGGCTTCCAGGTTGGTCCCCGGGGCGAGGGCCCGGGAGCGGGATGCGCCCCCCTTTGCCCCCCGCCCTCCCGGCCGCTCGGCGCTGCGGGAGCGGCGGCGGCGGGGACAGGCCGCTCAGGCTGCTCTTCTCTCCGCAGGGACCGCGGGGCCCCCCGGGCGGTGACCGCGCCTGGCCCCTCGCCGCCCGCCGGGAGGCCGTAGGGCGGCTGCGCCATGGCCGGCGGCGCGCTGCCCCGCTCGCTGCTGCTCACCTGCTGCCTGGCGGCCGCCCTGGGCGGCCCGGCGCGCCCGCTGGAGGGGCCGGCCCCGGCGCCCGCCCCGCCCGGCCCGCCCGGCCCGGGGAGCCCGGCGCCCGAGGGCTGCGAGCCCGGCCCGCGGGGCGGCCCGGCGCGGGCCGAGGGCGGCCGGGAGGCGGGGGCCCGGCCGGGGCAGGCCTGGGCCCGGGGCGCGGGGGACCTGCAGGCGCGGCCCCAAGGGGACCCGCCGCCCGGGGAGCCGCCCTCCGCCGCCCCGGACGCCGCCGGCCCGGACGCCGCCACGGAGCCGCCGGACGAGTACGCGTACCCCGACTACCGCGGCAAGGGCTGCGTGGACGAGAGCGGCTTCGTGTTCGCCATCGGCGAGCGGTTCGCGCCCGGGCCGGCCGCCTGCCCGTGCCTGTGCACCGAGGAGGGCCCGCTGTGCGCGCCGCCCGCCTGCCCGCGCCTGCCGCCCCGCTGCGCGCGCGTGGACGCCAGCCGCTGCTGCCCGCGCTGCCGCGAGCGCCGCGCCCGCTGCCAGTTCCGCGGCCGCACCTACCGGCTCCTGGAGGAGTTCGCGGTAAGAGCCGCCCCGCCGAGGGGAGCCCCGCGGGGAGAGGCGCCCTCCGCTCTGCTCCGGAGGCCCCAACCCTCTCCAAAGCGGCGGCTGGGCATCACCCGCGGCCTTCCCGGGGCGGGGACGGGCCCCCTGGGCGGGAGGCCGCTCTGAAGGCGAGGCCCGGCCTCCCCAGCCTGACCCTCCAGGGATCCAGGCCTCTGCTGCTCCTTTAACCGCCCGGCCTTGGACACCTCCACCGGCCTCCAAACATGGGGGCCTCCAAACACGGGACCTGCGTGCCCGTGCGGGCCTTTGGGGTCTGCTCTTGAGCTAATAGCACAGGGAGGCCAGGATCCCAAACACAAGCCACCCCCTAGGCTGGCGTCCTGGAAACACACAGACAGCGCCTGCTCCTCCTGCCCGGACACAGCGGTCAGCCAGCAGAAGCCAGTTTGGGGTAGAAACCTTCTCCTTCAGGCGAGAGTGTGAGCGTCTGAGCGTCCACCCCTCCGGGGCCTGTGGGTGCCAGGCTCCAGGCTGGCGTTCAAACACACGTCCATGAGCTCACCCGCTCACCAAGCTGCCACGTCCATACCGGCTACCACCTCCCTCCCGTGCGTGGGGAAGAGGAAGCCGAGGCTCAGGGCTGTTACAGGCCGTGCTGTCGGCAGCACTGCTTTCTGCTCCACGGCACAGGCTTTACCCCAGCTCCCCGGGCCCAGAGGCCAGCAGCCCAGGAGCTGTACCGTTAGGAGGGAGGTGCTGCCGACATGCATGCCCGGCCCGAGGGAACAGGGAAGCCCTGACTCCTGCCAGGCGCCCGGAGACACCTGCTGGCAGTTCAGCCATTCCAACCCCAGAGGCACGAGCCAGGCTGCCTGGCCTCGGCTCACGGACATGGAGGCCAGGATCTCCCGGGCGGCGGAAGGGTCCTGGGGCCTAGAGTCCCCAGAGCGTGTGTATGGGGGAGGGGCTGGCGGGCGGATCCTGCTGGTCCCCAGGCCACAACCACCGAGAAATACAGACTCGGGGTGCACCCAGGGTGGCCTGCTTGTGACTGAACCCCCAAAGCTGTGCAAACAGGCAGCGGGAGGTATAGGTCTGTAGCAAAGCAGGAAGTGTGGAAAGAACGCTGGGATGGGGAACCAAGAAGTTCCATTCTGGCTTTGCAGCAACCAGTCTGCCCTCCCCCCCTTCCCCACTCTTTACTCTTTTTTTTTTTTTTTTTTTTAATATATTTTTTATTGATTTTTTACAGAGAGGAAGGGAGAGAGATACAGAGTTAGAAACATCGATGAGAGAGAGTCATCGATCAGCTGCCTCTTGCACACCCCCTACTGGGGATATGCCCGCAACCAAGGTACATGCCCTTGACCGGAATCGAACCCGGGACCCTTCAGTCCCCAAGCCGACGCTCTATCCATTGAGCCAAACCGGTCCCGGCGTCAGTCTTTACTCTTACCTGCGAGATGAGGGGCCAGGCTCCCCACACCTCCTGGGAGCCGATGCCGAGCCTGTCTGTCCTCACAGTCCTGGGTCAGCCCTTGGAGAAACAGAAAACGTTGGTGAGAAACTCGGGTGCACTGGCCCCGGCCACACCCAGGAGCGAGCAGGAGCCCGCCCTCACGGTGCTCCCCCAGTCCGGGCGCGCAGACAGACACTAAGATGCAGCACTAAGCGCAGAGGCAGAGGCGGCCGTGGCGCTGGCGAGGCCCAGAGCAGGGACTGCCCCGCTGGCCTGGGGCAGGGCTGTGCGCAGGGAGGGACCCCACAGAACGGTTCTCTTGCGATCTCAGTTCATAAGAAAACCTAAGTGTTACCAGATCAAAGCCACGTGGTTAGTTTTGAATCCCTAACATGGGTTATTGATTGCACTGCGTGGCGTTCCGCAGTCATTTCCTAAGAGTGTCCCATGCGGTGGGCTGTGTCCGTCAGCTGGTGTCTGTGTTTGGTTTCCGTCACGCCGAGGAGGGGTGTCGGCGGGTGGCTGTGGGAGAGTCGGGTGAGCCAGGAGCCCGCGGGGTCCCTGGGGTGCACAGTGGAGACTGGTCATGGCGCCCGGTGCCAGGCACAGCCACCGCCCACACACCTGCGCCGGGGCGGGGGCAGAGCGAGAACGCGTAGCTGCGGGCTGTGTGGCCCGGGCGTGGGGGAAACGGAGAGGAGCCGTGTCCCGCCTGAACCCCGGTTGGGGTACAATGTGGTCAGGCCGTGAGCACCGCTCCTTCCCGTAGAGGGAGGTGCCCTGTTCCGGGGGACAGGGGGGCACACAGGCGCTGGGGCGCCTGGTCTCTGCCTCCCCCGGAGGAGGAGACGGTGGTGGGGCTGGGCTGTGTCTGCAGGGAGGAGGACAGCCCGGTCCTGCCTTGTGCCCAGAAGCGCGATGGCCCTGCCTTCGGTGCTCCTCCCTCCGGGGCACAGGGCCCTCTCCCTCTCTGCCCCAGGTTCCTGTCCTCAGACCCGCCCTCGCCTCTCCCTGTCCCTCACAGCCTGGCTGGCCTCAGTCCTGCTCCCACCAGGTCCCTCAGCCCCTGCTGGCACCTCACCCGTCCAGGGCGTGTGTGTGCGGCTTCCCTGTTTGTCCAAGTCAGAGCCCAGCTGCCGAGGTCCCTGTTGCCTCCCAGGAGCCCAGGTCCCCGGTTCCCCCGCACCCGCAGGCGCCGGCTCTGAACGGGGGGGAGGGGGACACCTGTCTGTGGGCTGTGTTGTTCAGGGGTCAGTGGTATCCCACATGCCTCCCAAGCGTGTTCCTGGGGAGAGCGGTCCTAACACAGCACCAGCCAGCGGCCGGACTCGGAAAGGCCGGGCACAGGCTGCAGGGGGAGGCTGAGGGCAGCGGTGGGCGGGCTGTCCCTCCCGAGGCCTCTCCTGGGCCAGCAGCGGCCTTCCCTCCACGTGCTCAGGGTCACCCCTCCGCACACGCCGGGTCCTCATCTCCTCTGCTATAGGGACACCTCCATGCCGGGTTGGGGCCAGTCTCTATGACCTCGTTCTAACCCCTTCCCATAGAGGCCCGTGTCCATACAGCCGCTCGGAGGAGGGGGCGGTAGGACGGCAGCCTCTGGATTGGGGGGTGGGCCCCTCAGCCTGTAGGTGGCGTCACTGACCCCGTTGACCTCCGAGGCACCGGCCAGTGGATGAGAGGGACGCGCTCGGGGCTGGCGAACCGAGAGCCTGACTGGAAGTGTTCTGAAGAAGGCACAGGAGTCGGGGGACGGAGATGGAGCCGTGTGCAGAGCCCCCCGATTCCGTCCGAGCCACCCCGAGCAGCACGCAGGGATGCAGGCCGGGCACGGTGTTTGCGTCCTTGTACCACAGGGGCAGCTCTGACAGGCTCCACGAGCAGTTTCTGATTCACCCCATGACTACAAGCAGGCCAGCAGGCATCAAACGGGAAATGCATCGATAAGACACAACTCGGTTTCCAGCAGCAAAAGGGTCAGTCCCTCCTGGGCATTGGCCCTGGGAGGGGGACAATAGCCTGGGTCTGCGAGCCGGGCTGTGTCTCCCGGGGCCTGGTGGGACGTGGCTCTGAAATAAGGCCACACAGGAGCCAGACGGTACTGTGCAGTGTGTCCACACCAGGAATCTATCCCAGCTGATCAGGAGCTGCGATCGGCGAGTGGACACGTCTTTGGAGAAAAGGAGCAAATGAATTATTAATAAGTGCTGCTCGGAGGCTCTTTCACGGCCTGAGGGCTGGCGACGGGGAGATAACGGTGGAGTGGCCGCCGGGGACCACGGAGCCACACGCCACCCGCTCTGGCGTCAGCGTTGGACGGCCACGAACCCTGCTGCCACGTCGCATCTCGAAGTTTATCCATGAAAAGATATCTCACGTGACATTTGGAATCCAAAGCTCTTGCAGGTGTGATTATGTACCCGCAAGAGGAAGGTGCGATTCTTCGTATTTTTAAACGAATGGAGCGGACCCTCTCTGGCCGATATTAACACAGAACCATGCTGGGGTCATTGACCTTCGCCACGCCCTGTGATCACGCTGGGTGAAGGTCTGAAGTCTGTGCCTCCGCCGCCTCTGAGCTGGCTTGGGTTCCGAGTGAGATTTTGTAAACTCCGGACTCCGCTCCTGCCTCCTGTCTGAAGCCACGTCCACAAGGACAAGTACACAAACAGGGGGCGTCCACAGGCCTGCATCCCTCACTCGGAGGGAAACACAACTCCACACGCCACACCTGATGGCAGTGCGGTGGGATACACAGCCCCATCTGTCACGATGGGAGGAAGGAGCCGTATTCACTCAGCACCTGCGTGCTTGACACACTCTGGCGGTGATTACAGGACAGACTGATGAGCTGTTATTTTCTTTATTTTAAAGAGAGAAAATGCAGGCTCATAGCCATAAGTTATTGGATCAATGTCAACCAGCTAGGCAGTGGGGAGCCGGCGGTGCGTCCCACCGGCTGGACGCTGGAATCCTGCCCTCCCCACGCCACCGCCTCAGCTCCATGACCACACGACCACATGACAGTGTGTGACCAGGTGCACCCTGGGTGTGGCCAAGGGGATTTCTGGTCCCCGGAGAGGGAAGGCACATGCGGGCAGGAGGCACGTGCCTGCAGTTGTGTCTAGCAGATGCCAGGTCGGTTTTGTTTGGTGAAGTGTTTATTTATGGGGGTTTGTGTCATATTTGACTCAAGCCACCCTGGACACAAGAAATATCTGTGCCCTCAAAGAACGGAATCTGGACTTGGAATGCGGACAGAGCACGGGGTCGGGAGTGGCCTGCGGGCGAGGGAAGGGCTCAGTGGGCAGTAGATGGAACACAGGTCACCAGAGGCGGCCGAGAGCTTGGCGAGGGGCAGGCCCACGGAGGGGGAAGGGAGGGCAGACTGGTGGCCATGCTCTCGTGGCTCCTGGCACATAGACGTTTGTTTGACGGGGGCAGATATTGAACAAATGAGGGTCCACGTTCACACCCAGACTGCCCAGCGTGCAGGTGGCTCGGTGCCCGCTGGCAGCCGTCTGCCCCAGCTGCCCCATGCTGCCCCTTTCGAATGGCG